AAATAAACCAGAAGAACTTAAATAGATCAGTAAGCACAGGGGAAATGTGCATTTTACTCAACTTAAAGCCCCTTGTGCTTCATGACACATCCCATCCACCTGCAGCACTTTCACGGTATTTTTGCGGTCCTTTCTCTACTGCTTCACTTAAACCTGCACAGAAAAAACAGTAGAGCCACCTAGAGCACACACAGGATATGACAACAGAAGGTATTTCCCTTCTGGGACACCTCCAAAGGACATAAACTTGGCTAAAGGTTCCCCATCACCACCACCTGTATAGATAGCTATAGTCACGCCTTACACCAGCACTTTTTGGCATTGCAATGACGAGTTAAAAATAGGATTTTTCTCCACAAAACCATATATTCTTTACAGCCTAGGCCAATATATAATTACATGACGTAATGCTTGCTCAAGTAAAAAACAAAATAAACAAACAGCAAAAATTCCATATGCAAACTGTTCCACCACTTATTTCTGCTCCACACACTAGTGTCCAGTATTCACTCAGACTTGATACACATTTTTAATTTCCTCGAGAACAGTGTCAAGATCATTTATACAAGCTATGTAGTTTACAGTAATGTGTGGTCTAGTTAAGAGGCCCTAAAATCTGCCCAATACAGACAACTGCTCTCTGTAAGACCTCCTCCCAAAGACCAGCCAAAAAAGCTTGACTTGAAATTACCTTCCACTAACTGCATCCCCTCAGATCATTTCGCCTATAGTGACAGTGGGAATACAAACAAATCTTCGGAAACAACCGATATTCTGCTAGGATGGAGGGACATGAGGCACTTGTCTCTGCTTTTTCTCTGAAAATCCATGGAATTTTAATGGTGCTAGGGGAAGGTCACTGCCACTGTCCATAAAAATATCAGAGAAATCTGTAACATAGATATTTCCATTCTGTTCAAGCAGGGAAAAGGAGCTTCTGCAAACTATACCGTGACTATGTCATTTATGAGCTGGCTACTACACACTGAGCCTGATGATATTCCAGCCAATATGAGTATTTTTTAAGATGAGATGAGATAAGCTATGAATTGCACTTAATGAGATACCAGTAATATTTTGCTGATTCGAGATAAATATACTCCTAGGGAAATGAATGCCAGCACGTCTATTTGTTTTTTCCACACACAGCTGTGCCCTCTAGTGGAATTGGCTAATTCACACGATATTTTTTCTCAAAAACAGCCAACTCAATCTTACGTTCATTGAGATGATGAGAGTTATGTTCATCTTCTGTTAGGTAACTGTTGTATTAACTTCAAAGAATTTACTAGTGCAGAAGTTTGAAGACACTTAGAGAAACCAAACTGTAGAGTTTTAAACAAAGTCCTTTTTTTTTATGCTCTCCCTATTAGTAGTTATCGTGACGGGAGAAAATCTTGTCTTGTGATCTTTAGGATGTCAGATGGAGTATAAATTCAACAGTTTAGGGACGAGACAAAATGAGTTGAAGTAGTTTTGAGCCATCACTGATTAGAGTTACCAACTCTACTAACCTGTCAACTCCTCCTACTCCATTTTTTTCCTATAGTTAAGAGAGAGCAGGACCACATCTGATGGCTGACTGAAGTTTACTAGATTTAGTGCAGGTTTTACCATTACTTACCTCTACCACTGTGATGTGCCTCCTCTGAAGTTTCTTTCACAGAAACAGTGAAAATGAAATAATATATACTCTTATTATTTTGCACTTCAATTGAGTTTCATTTACCATTTACCAACCTGGGCTCACCAACTTCCAGTATGCTTCTATTTTTTAAATCATTATCTTAGTGTAGGGTACTACAGAAAGTAGAAAATATTCCAGATTTTCCTTAGAAAATTAGACATAGAAATAGTCATTAGAATGTTATTAGATGTAGAAACACATTTTCTTTCATGCTATCCAAAAGATTGTTCACGCAAAAATTAACACCTACAAACAGATCTCCAAATCTTTATAAATATGAGAATTAAGTCCCCTACCTGTTGTTCATCCAAGGGCTACCTACTCCATTGCTGGGGAGAAGACACCAGGCCTGGGAAGTGGTATGGCCAGTGCAAGGCAGCATGTGCCCTGCCAAGATTTAAGGAAACATAGGTTTTGTGTCAGGCTACGTACCTTTGGCTGACATAGAGATATACAGCTTATCCAAAGGCACCTATGAAGAACTGAACTGTACCTCATCCAGATCTCGAATATCTCTTGTGCTGCAACCAAACATGCACAGACTTCTCCAAATACAACTGTTCCACACTCTGTGAAAAGGAAATTAGCCTTGTAAGGATTTTTCCTACCTAAAACATAGCCACTTTATATGTTACAGTTGTCTAGCTCACTGATTTTTACTAGTGAAGTGTAATACAGAGAAGACATGACTATAATATGAAAATATCCCCATTCCTTTTTGGAACTGAGAGACATTGACCAAGAAATATTGGTCTGCAATTGCCAATGAATGAGAATAAATAAAAGATACTCAGATAACATAAATGTTTTATGTCAACTGGAGACACTTTATTACATTGCTAAAGCGCCAAGAGTCAGAGCAGGTAAGAACAGAAATTTGCTCTTATTAGGAAGCTGTAAAAGGTTAATTAGGAAAGGGGAGCTCTTGGAAGCTGCTGGAAATGGTCATGTGGCCTCAGGATAGATGAGCCTATTACAGACAGTGCTGGTGATGTAACGTTTAATTTAAGTTTCCACTCATGTCACATGATCCTGCTGCAGGTTTGGGCACACAGAGCTCTGTGAAAACCACTGTCTTTTGTTTCTAGCATGAAGCAGAATTCCTGCAAGAAACAATGAATCAGAGCTTAATATACAGTTTTATTTTAGCCTTTTTCAATTAAAATAGTTGTAGGGGAATTTTATAATTAAAGTTTATTTTGAATGCTTGTAACAATGTCTTAGATTTATACTAGTACACAACTAGCAAGGAAAATAAATTATATATAGACTTGAAAAGCCATGCTGTCCACTAATTAATTTGAAAAAAAATACAATTAGAAAAAAAATCTACTGAACTTTAAATTTAAAAATATGGAATTTTCACCCCAAAACTCAAAAAGGGAAGGAAATTGTTAAATTATACTTTCAGGTTTTTTTCCTATATTTTTCATTTTCCCCACCTATTCCAATGCATGTGTGACAGTGATGTGTTGCAAGATTAAAACAAGTACTGTATCCTGTATCCTTTGGCATGGGCTTTTTTCAAATAAGCCTCATTCAGAAAATTAACTTATTAGGAAAGTGTAAAAGAATACTAAACTTTACAGATTTTCCCTTGCCTGGTGTAAGGGCTCTTAATGGCTCCATCAGCCTCATTTGGGGCTTCCACCCATGCCCAGGAGTCCCATTTAAGTTCGGCCTCAGCCTTCATATGAGCTATGTTTTGTGAGTGCTGGTCTCCCACTGTAGTTGCAGACTGACCTCCCAGCTTGGCTAAGGATCCGTGTTGTCTATAGATTCACTATGGCCTTGATCACTGTGCCTGACTGTGGTTACTTTGCTGTGCCTGATCTTGATCTGCAGATTGAACTCCCGAACTTGACGTCAGACTATCCTGATGACCATTAACGTGACTGAGGATCCGGGCTCTTGGCTGAATCCCGCTGCCAGGCCTCCACTTCTCCCCCTGCCTTGGGTACTGCAGCCCTGGGCCCTTCTTTGCTGGCTAAGCGGTGGTGGTGCTCGGCTCGCTGTCCTTAAGGGAGCAGCTGACCCCCCACTGCTCCCCAACCACTTGCAGCATTGACAGTTGTGTGCAAAGCAACAGGAGAAAAAAGGACTGTCTGGTTTATTTATCACTTTGCCCTTAGAGACCTACTCCTCATGAAGCATTCACCAGGAGGACTTCCAGTTCTTGGATAGGCTGCACACCCCAAGCACTGAGGGACAGTGCCCTAAAGCATGGCATGTGCTTTTAGAGGTCTCTTCCAATCTGTACTTCTAGAATTACTGTGATTAATAGCATTATCTCAAGCCATTTCTTCTCCCAGACTCTATGCAGTGATAGCAATGAAATCAAACAAGACAGCAGTTCTTCAAAAGAGTCTCTTGAACACTTTTTGAAAGTGTTTATTCACTGTGAGCTATGGAAGCCGCTATTTACAAAAACACCCATAACAACTTTGAAAACGCACACCAGAAGAATTTCCAGCATCTTTCTCTCAAAAGAAAGATGAAAATAAAAAGTTAAAACCCTTACCTTGTTCTCTGAAAACTTAAATTCCCATAGCTTATGTGCTGCCTAAGGCCATCCTGCAGAGCCTTTGCTGCAATTGCAATGCTCAGGCGAAATTATTGATTGAAGTCTTTCCCCTTTTAGTCTGGAGAGCTATCCAGGGAAGTCACAAACCTTCAGACATTGCTAGCTCACACATGGGAAAAATACTGTCTAAATGTCTTATGCTTTTGTACAGATCTTCACACATGCTCAGCCATGAGAACAGTCTTTCTAACCACAAGACCAGCTACACAAATTTAAATCATGCCAGTCATTTTTCTTTAATCGGGCAATTAAGGTCTTGAAGCAATACTGGTTTTCCACTGGCTTCATTACAAATCACCTACAGATCCTGATGTATTCCTCCATGCGCAACAGAGGAGTGTGAATGGGATCATGAGAGGGGTTATCTTCCAGTCCCCGGACATGCACTAGGGCCACTATAAGTGTGTTGTAGTCCATATCTGGAGGCATCCCACCCGCCTGCCTGTGCAGATATTCTCCCTGGGAAACAAAACACTCTGCGGTTCCCCACCATTGCTAAAAACACCTCCAACTTCTGCAACCAAAAGCAGCGGGCGAGCGGCGGCGGGCGGAAGGCGCGGGGCGGCGCTTCCGTTGGCGGTTGAGCGGGGCGCTAACGGCCGCCAACGGCCGCCGGCAACGGCCGCGCGCGGGGCGCTCCGCCCCCGCCCCGCCCCTCCCCTCGCCCTCCCTCCGCCCCGCCGCTCCTCCTGCGGCCTCCTGGGCGGCAGCGGCACTGGGACCGGGACCATGCTGGAGACGCTGCGGGAGCGGCTGCTGAGCGTGCAGCAGGACCTCACCTCGGGGTGGGTAGCGCCCCTCGCCGCCGCGGCACGGAAGCGCGAAGGGGCCCGCGCACGGACGAGGCGGGAGCGGGGGAGGGGGGAAGCAGGTGACCAGGGGCCCCGGCGGGGCCAGGAGGGAGGAAGAGGAGGAGACTTGGAGGAGGAGGAAGGGGGAGGCGGTGTCCGCAAGGCCCGGCCCTGGCCGCCCCTGGGGAGCGCGCCCGAGGGTCTCCGGCGGCGCCGTAACTTCTTAGGGGGTATCTGGTTTAAGCGACCTTCTGAGGCGTGTGGGTGGCGGGGTAGCGTGCAGAGCCCGTGCGCCCCGTTCCGCCTCTGGAAAGCCTCGCTGCCCTTGGGAGAGGCGAGCTGTCGCCATCCTAAAGAAAGAAGTAGAAGGAGTAGCCTCTTAGTGCCTTAGAAACAGAAAGAAATCATTCTTTAGTTGTTCCATAGACTTCTTTTACAATGCTCACTGTGTCAACATTTTTCCCCCATTTTTAGCTAAAGCAGGTCATCTAAGTGAGCATTGCTAAAAGTGAGTGGATAGTTAAATGATAAAGTCATTGCCCATGCTGGGAATACCTGCTTTTTGCTTTGCTTTGTAGTTGGACTCATGATCTTGAAGGTCCTTTCCAACCGTAATGATTCTGTTTCTTTGTAGTAAACTGCAGAAGGGCATTGTAAGTAGCTGCTTTCAAAGACTGCGTTGTCTTCCTTGCCCTGTTGAGGCAGTCTTGTGATACCCGAATCATAAATAAATGTGTGTGTGTGCTTGTGTGTTTATAGTGATGAATGTCAGTGAACTCTCAGGGGTTTAAAATACACAATTTGCAATGACTTACTTGTTTTGGTACACAAAGCTCCAGAGAAATTGGTAGAATAATCAACCAATCAAACAGATAATTTACTGCTACCTGTTTCAGCAAACAACAAATGAATATTAAAAAGTCTTGAGAGAAGAAGCTAAAGTATTACTTTAATAAATGCGTTCTTAATATTTTTATTACTGCATAAAGGCATAATTTTTACTTCTGTTTTGCTGTCATTTTTGGAATCCTTCACTGCCTCTGATGCCCCAGTGCAGGGTAAGCTTCTTTGGGAAAACACATTTTTCACGTGTTCAAACAGGATTACAGAGAGGCCATACCATGCTAATATCTAATGATTATTTAACTCTGCACCTGAATATCTTGCTGCAGAGGGATTGCTGCATGCTTATACTTTGGCATGTCATGTTTTGCTTTGAGAATACTTTGTGACTTCATCGTTTCCATGTCTGTGCTTCAGCAGCTGCACTAATTTGCCTTCTTGGAGTGTTCCTGCTGTTTTCATCTGCAAGGTCCTTCGTGTTGCCACTGAGAATGTGTGTCCCAGAGCTTGAGTAGCAAAGGCTGTGGGAAGCATTGCTTTCCTCCTTGAATTGTCTCCTTGCAGTGAAGCCAGAACTCAGGTTTTATTTCTCCGTATGTCTCTCCTTGGGCAATGGAACCTCAGTACCACTTGTCCAGATTTCACTGGGACTTTGATCCTTCTAAAATAATAATAATAGGAAAGAAAAAACCCCAAATCAAATGCTGTTAAGACTTTGTTTATTTTCTATTTAATTCTGTATATCCTATGAATGAAGTAGCTAGACTTGACCCATTTACCTGCAAGCAGTGTTTTGTAGGAGGAATAGAGAACAGTGAGTTATTTCTGTGCTGAGGCAGTAATTTGTGTGCTTCTGTCAGCTTGAGTGGCATGGCTCTTACTACTACCTCTTTATATACAGAATGTTGCTGAAAAGCCAGTATCTTACAGCATAGTGATAAATCATTTAATCTTTATTCCTATTCTATAAGAAAGGCTTTTCTATAGAGCCTTGAGGCTACTTCTTAAAGTTCTTGGAAGTTGTGGATGGTCAAGATGGGGGAGTGGATGGGCTCACCCAAGCAGCAGAGTGAATATCTTTGTATCAGGGGTGTTCTCTAAGTCAGTGAATGATTCAGGACTTAGCGTATATAAATTGACGAGAAAAGATAGGTGTGCATGTGCAGGTGTTTGTGTGTGTGGTTGTTTGGCTATTTCAAAGTAGCAGGGTACCAATAAGTTAGAAATTGGCCATAGGTAAGACCTATCTCAGATTTGCTGACAGTGTGCAGTTGGTGAACTGTGAGAGATGGCAGTTGAAGAGTCATATTAGTTTTGTGTTGATAGACTTAGGGCAAGTGGGTGATTTGTGTTGCCAAGGAGAAAATGTTACCCCACATAGGACCAGCTTTTTACTGTATTGGCAGTTTTCTTTGCAGTCTGAATAGGAACATTCAGACGATTAACTGAATGTGACTATTGAGCAGCCTTTGCTATTTTAGAGCAGCCTATGTCTCTCTAAAAGTGATCAAGTCCAATTTTGAGAAAATACTCGCTCTTCCGTACCCAATTCTGAATTTAGATGGTAAGTTTGCATTAAGCAAGTATGTCTCTGTGACTTGTATGCTTTTTATGCTTTCCTTGTCATATGTGTTTTCTCATAAAGGGTATGATCCAGGACTATTTCTATGTAGGGATTTATACCTTTATAATAAGAAAACAGTATTGAGAGCTTTGTGACTTGGGAATTTTAGTCTTCAGCTGCTAGATACAACCATAAAAATCTCATACTTCAGAAGCAGTGTATTTGAAAATAATTTTATATGACAGTTTTCATAAAATTGAGTGAAATTTAATTAATTCCTGAAATAAGGGGCTAGAATTAAAACATCATAGTAGATGGGCATTAAAAAGGCTGTTCCCTGGTTTGCATGTTGGTAGTGCCTGATTGTTTCCTGTTTTGATTTCTAGGTTAAAGACTTTGGGTGACAAATCAAGAGACGCGAAAAAAAGCAGAAAAAGGTACTTTACATCTTAATATATACTGTTGATCTAGGATCTTGTTTAAAGAAAAACTTAAAAAATATATGCTTAATGGTGTATGAAGGATAATCTATTTTCACCTCTATTGTAACAACATTTAAGAAATTTGGTGTTTTTATTATACTCTGCATTCTAGTATATTACTTGTTTACCAACCTGTGTCTACTCTTGTCTATAAATGGCGTCTGTATGTGTTTCTTCAAACAACCTCAGATGTTCATTAGTGTAAAGCATGTCCTTAAAATGTGGTGTGAAGACACAAATTAATTTTAAACTAATTCTAAACGAAAAATAAACTATCTGAAATAAACTGTACTAAGACCTCAAAGCCTGATATTCTGGAGAATACAAGGTTTTTTATAAATTAAAATTTATAAAATTTTCATTTTATAAATATAGACAACACTAAATCTAAACTAAAAATATGCACAGATTTGAATAAAACCATTTTAGGCAACCATCTCTGCACGTTTCCAGTCTGTGTAGTTCATCCGGTGTACTGTGAATATTTTTAAAAAATGCTCTGGGTGAACCAGTTGGATAATCATAAACAGATGAACTCCAGGGTGACTCATGATTCTGCTTCTGATTTGCTAATAGAGTCCTAGGACAAGTCAAGCTTAACTTGATTCTAAGGATGATTGAGACCTTGTGAGTCTAAGAGAGCTCTGATCCTGGATGTAGGAGAGGCAGGAAGGGTGACACTAGTGCGATTTTGCTTCTGACCTCCTCAACAGGATAATGAGGTTGATATAAAGTCTCTAAACAACTCAGAAAAACCTCTTTATCATAAACTCTCATTTTATGAGGCACTGTAACTTCCTTTACGTCGGCTGAAAGATGTAAACAGAATGTAAACAGTCAAGAATATTTTTGGAGGGTGTCAGGAATAACTTCATACGGGTATTGGATGGCCCTGGAGGCCAGGATTGGCCTACAGCTGGATCTGGTAGTCACTAAGAAGGAAAAACTGGTTGATGATGTGATAAGCAATGGTAGCTTGGTCAGTAGTGGCTTTGGAATAGTGGGGTTATAAAGTGGTAAGTGGGATCCTGTGAGAAGCAGCTCTGTGAGAGCCAGGAATCTCGGAGAAGCTAGCAGGACCTCAAGGACAACATCCTCCAAGCACAGGAATGATTCATCCTGATACTTGGGAAGGCAAATGTGTAATGAGATGGGCTTGGCCAAGCATGGAACTCATGATAGAGCTTCACTGTGAAAAAGCAGCCTGCGGGACATGGAAGTAAGGATAGGCTATGAAGTAGAGATTCAGAAATACTGCCTGGCCATGCAGGGAGGTGTCAGGAAAGCCAGAGCTGGCCTGTATTTTATACTCACAGGAGATATCCAGGGCCAACTAAGAGCCTCTATCCATACATTAGGAATAAAAGGCTGAACAAAGAAAATATGCTGCTGAGAGGGGTGAGTGATTTAGTGACAGAAAATGCTGATAAAGCTGAGGTACTTTCTTTTCCTCTGTCTTCAAAAATAAGGTCTGAAAGAAATCTATGCCCAGTGAAAGGGTTCAAGGAGACCAAGTGGTAGCAGATGAGTGTTAAGTTAGGGAACTTGCTCCATACCAATCTGTGGAACCAGCAGGAATCTCCTGAAACGCCAAAGGTACAAATCTGAAGCACTTTCCCTGGGAAGAGAGAACCCTCAGCAACAATACTGGCTGTGCAGCAGCTTTACTGAAAGATCCTAGAGATCTTGGCAGATGGGCAGCTTGGCAAGCAAGGCCAAGAGCATCTTGGACTGTGTGAACAGGACCACAGCCAGCTGACTAGAAGGAAGTGAGTATTTTCCCTCTACTCTGTCCACCTTAAACCATGTCTAGATTGAAGCGATAAATTTTGGGCCCCTAATAGAGAAGAACATGGGTAGCATGGAGCAAGGTCAACAGAAGCCCTCAGAATGGTTGGATGCCGCAACACTTGTCCTGTGAGGAGAAGAAAAAACTGGGTTTGTCTAGTCAAGAGAAGAGACTGCTCAGGGGGACCTCACAGCAGCTCCTTCCACCAAGCCCCTGTGGAGGTTATCGAGAGGACAATAGGACAAGGCTCTTCATAGTGGGACACAATGGGAAGACAAGAAGCATAAGTTGAAGCAAGAGAGGTGTTCAGAGTATGAATATGAGGAAAGGCCTTTTCCCCATGACGACAGGCGAGCAGGGGAAGAGGTTGCTCCCTGAGGCTCTGTGGTCTCCATTCTTAGAGGTTTTCAAGACAGAGCTGCATAAACCTAGAACAATCTTACCTAATACTATAGCTGACCCTGCTTTGAGTGGGAGGCTGGAGTAGAGACGTGATGAGGTTCCTACCGCTATGAATTATCCTACGATTTTGCTATTGCTTAGGAAAGCAGAAACTTTGATTATGGTGTTTATTTTCCATTCAGATTGTTTGGGTGATGTTCTAAACATGTTTTGATAATCTTATAACAGACTAATACAGAATGTTATCAACATCACTGTGTGGTAAAAACATCCTTAAAAATGCTGTATTGTTAATTTTCCTTAACTTATGGTGCCATATCTTCATAGTTCAGGTTACTATTAATGAAAATGTGTGTCAAATAGGAAGCAATTAGGATATTGGACTGACAAATTTTTTTTTTTAGTTTAGTATTTGTTTAAAAGTAGAATGCACTGTGTAGAATCCCAAGGAGGGATGTAAGGAATTTGTGGAGCAGCTCTACTTTTAGAGCCGTCCTGTTTCCCATTTTAAGTTAAGGAAAGCAATGTTTTACTCTGAATGATTGTTAACTATACTATTAGATTATGAAAGTTGTTTAATGGACATCAGGCAAAAAGAACAGCGTAATATAAAATAATGAGGAGAAAAACCCATAGTTTTGTAACATTCTTGTATCTTTATACACATAATGGGTAATGACCTTCTATTTATTACTAACACCTGTGCCTTTACATTTTGTTTACAGAACTGGTCATTACTTGCCAGAGTTTTCTGCTGGACTAGAATTACTGAGCAGGTATTCCTTCTAATTTTGTTAATGTCTGTTTTATGTATTTTCAGAAATAATGTATTAGGATCAGAAAAATAGGTGAAAATGAAAGTGTTTGTATCAGTAATATTTTTTTTAAATGTTGTGAAGTTACTAAATGCTAGGAATGTTTAAAGCTTGCCCAGTCCTTAAGTACTGAGGGAGCAGAAGTTATGTAGGGAAAAGTGGCAATGAGAGAGAACTTAAGCTTGGTGTCTAATGCACAATAATGAGAGCAGCACTGAGACCCAGTCTTGAGTTTGAGTTTGTGTGCTTGTCGTTGCTGCAAAAGGAAGTGTCTTTTGTATGTATTTGATCACATTTTTTTCTGATAATAGAAGCTTCAGAGTTTTATACCATTATTTTTGGAAGTCCATGTGCAAACAAACACATTGGCATCCTTGAAATTCTCTCATTTATGAAGGGAACACTGTGAAAATGTTTTGATCTTTCCTTTCCTCAGATATGAAGATGCTTGGGCTTCCCTTCACAGAGGAGCTAAAGATTGTGCAAAAGCTGGAGAGGTAATAAAAAGTAAAATTATTACTTTTAAAATGTTAAATGTACAGATTCTTTTCATAATATTGGTATTAAGAATTTTATTTTTAAAAGTTAATGTTTTATATTGTGGCTGAGAAAATGTCAAGTTGCAGTGTTCTCTGCTCTGCTTTTTGCATGTTGCTTGACAGCTGTCTGACAAAATAGTTGAGAATGTCCGATTCTTCACATAGCTCTTGCAGATTTATTGCTACTCAGCCTACAATTAATCTTCCTAAAATGATACACAAACACCTGTATATGTAAAATATGATCTCAGATAATTTTTATTATTACTATTTTTTTCACAAAAGGTCACATAACTGAAATCAAGGTCTCACTCATGTTTATTTCTAGTGTTTCTTTAGCAAACCTTGAGCATGCTGATTTTTTAATACCTTGAAATTATCACTTACAAATGGTACATTGATAACCAGAATTTCTTTTGGCTTTTCCTGGGTGTTTACACAATTGCAATTACTGTTTGCGTTTAAGCAAAACTAATCTTAATTATATGAATTTACGGATTTTCTGTCGCGTGTTAGGTTAGAGAAAGATATTATCAAATAGGTATGATGAGGTGATGGTATAAACAAGGCTTTCTTGTAGGTGGTGTATTTTTCCACTTTTTTGTTAATTGAAATGTTTTAAGTTAGCTGATAATATTATTTCGTAAGTTTTTGAGACACCTACAACAGTAAGAACATAATGAAAGCATACATCTTACAGAACAGATTGCACAAATGATGTTGCATGTTACCACTGTAGCTGTACTGGAGGGCCAAAGCATGGTGGGGGAGGAGGCAAGTAGTTGGCATGTTAAAAAGGAAGGACTGTCACACTGACAACCTAGATGTGTGCAACTCCCCTTTGCAGTGGCCTGGAAATCACATGATTTGACCTAGTCTGTTTAGGAAGAGTCACAAAGTAGTTGTGCTTTTTCCTGATTCATCCATTTCCCCCCTGCTGGGAATAAATTGGCAAATTGTGTAGTTTACCTATTTCAGGTATGATTGGAAAGAAAACTCCAGTGCTACTGCTGCAATTAAAAAATTGCCCTACTCTCCTGGTGGTGCTCACCGGACTTTCCCTTCAAGCCTTGTCTAAGGGGCAGACAGTTTAAGCTGGGTGGCCAGGGTGCAGAATGGGACTGGGGTGTGGGGTGCTCTGTCCTAGCCAATACTTTCTTGAACAGATCATCACTTTATCCTTGCTGCATCCTCCCTGGCTTCTTCTTTTCTCTGGGTCTTTTTTTCATCAGCTTAAAAAATTCATGTTTAATATATTTTAAGGTTTTAATATATTTTAATGTTTAATTAAACATTAAAATGTTTAATATATTTTGAGGTATACACAGGGTAAGAAAGATAAAATACTATCGTATGTTCTTTTTATTGTCTAATACTGTATCTACCTTTTCCAGCAATCCTAGCGAAAATCTTCAGTTTCTAGAGACAATAGCTTGGTGTGTTGTAGCACTCCTGATGATTTTTCTTGCAAGACCACTGAAATGAGTTGCTTGCAATTTTGTGGTACTTGCAGTAACCTGCTTTAAAAAATTGTAATTCTGAAAACAAGTGAGATATTTCATATATAAGACCAATTTCATCTTAATCTCACATGTTATAGCTGCTTGGGAATTTTTTTTTTTTTTTTTTTTTTAAGTAGAAAATATGGGCTTTATTGAAATAACAGCTATGGAAAAAAAAAAAAACCCACCTACAAAATTGACTGACTAATCACACTTAAAAAGTCCATATTGCCTAGTAGCCTACTTCTGCTTTTGATCAATACCAGATAAATAAGGCAACATGAGAAGGTTGTAAAACTTTAGTCTGGATGAGAAAGGAGCATGTAAATTTCAAGTTTTGATTTCTGTCTACAGTTTTACCATATCAGATTATACCTGTGGTCTACCAGTTCCATATAAAATTCTTCTAAGATTATTGCTTCTATTTCTATTATTGTTTAGATGCTTCTAATTGTAGTACATTTTAATGAACTTGTCAGAAATATTTCTTTCTGATGTTTACCTCCATCTCATTGTAAATTTTTTTTTACTCGTTTACTTCAATGCTTAACTAATATAATTTTTTATCTTGCTCTAAAGAATCTATTTGATAATATTTAAGTAAGTGGGATAGCTTTCTGAAATATTTTATTGCTCACTGTACTTTGGAATAATGTTTCAAAACTTGACAGGTAAATTGGCTTGGCTTTTTGACAAGCATCAGTTAGTGGGATTTGGGAAATGTTGCAAGTAAACTGAAGAGTCTGTTTGTTTCAGCTGGTGGATAGTGAAGTTGTGATGCTTTCTGCACACTGGGAGAAGAAAAGGAGTAGTCTGGTGGAACTACAGGATCAGCTCCAACAAATACCTGAGTTCCTAGCAGATCTGGAATGCCTCACAGCGAGTCTAGGTAAGGTTTTCTAGATGTCACAAGCATTGGAGTCAGTGCAGAGGATTTGGCCCAAGTTTGACTGTTGTGAACTTTATGATTATCAAAATTTAACTTTTCAAATACATATTTTATCTTATAAAACAGTAGTTCTTGAGCAAATTTGCTCTATAAAAGACCTAGATTCATAGTGACCTCTTTCCCAGCAGTTAAAATATGTTGTGGGATGCTATTTGGGGAAAAAAGAAAATGTATAGCAACGTTCTGTTTTGAACAGTTGAAAATCATTGTTTTGAAATCATTGAAGTCTTTCCTTTCTGAGTTCCTACAGATTTGCAAGTAGTTAGACCAGTTATGTATGTATTTCCCCTTATTTGATTCAGTCTCTATCACCTTATAAAACAATTTTTTTAAACCATCATTTAATTTGGGATGGTTTGGGATGAAAGTTAGTCTGGCCTGGGACACTTCCAAGGCTTGGGGCACTCTTTGCGGAGAATAATTGTTCCAAAACTATTTTCCATGGTTTACTGTGGCATGTACCCTTATACTATTCTTATGATACCCAGCTTTTTCTTCAGTAAGGCTAGTAAGTCTACACATTAAGGCTATCAAATACCTCGTACCTGGTAGGTGGAGGTTCTAATTTTTATAACTTTACTCAAGGTTAACTTCTTAGTTTGAAACTTCATAAGAAGAATGCTTAAGTGGGCTACTTCTGGAAAACTCCCATGCAAAACAGTTGAGATACTGCTGAAATTGAATTCAGGACAAAAATATTCTGATCTCTTAGTCTCCGAAAAGCACTTGTGTTATTGTGCCTTGAAGCAGGGACTCAACATTTCACTAATAGCTAGTCTTCCTATCAATAATAGGCCTCTTGCTGTCTCCACAAAAATTTACTCAAGTTGTAACAAGTTAAGATTTTGCAAAACCGCTTGGATTTCAGTCTACCACTGAGGTTCTGAGATTAGAACTAAATAATCTAGTCATATCACATTTCACATGATTCCCTGGGAGGATCCAATTGCTTCTTACTATGGGTTTTGGGGATTGTTTATTCTGATAAATTCTATACATTTAAAGCCTTTTTTGTTTGAAGAGAAAATACTTTTTTTTTTTTTTTTTTTTTTTTATAAATTATACTTTTAAGCCTTTATAGTCCTAGAAGTGATTTAACAGAAGTTAGCTGTGAAGAAGTTAGGAATGAGCTTATTTGTCTTTTGGAAAAGGGAAAAAAAGATAGTTTTGAAGAGCAATGAGTGAAACCTTTTGTAAGAGAATTGTTTGTTTGTCAAACAGTTGTTCAAATTGTTATGTCCTGGGTTGTGCATGTGAAGTGTAATATAGCTCATCTTCATTGTTTTAGAAAAGTTATATTTTATGTGGTGATATAGATGCATTAACGCTACTATTTTAAAAGTAGATACAGAACTCTGGCTGCTTTTTGTAAAAATAAATTTCAGAATACGAAAATAAGCCTTTTTGTTGACCTACTAAAATGACGTAAGTCTTCAGCTTTTATCTCTATAATGAAAAGTGTTTTTACTAACACTGAGCAAATAAAAGTCCTGTAACTTAATCAATCACGTACTAGACTACCCTTACTTCCAAGTAAAAAGCTTATATTCGTTTGTCTCATAAATTTACTGTATTTTACAACATCTTGAAAATGTCATTAAAAGCCTTGTAGGAAAAAAAAATACAGCAGTGTCAGTGAAAAGGGCAATTAATGGCTTTTAAAGCTCAGCATTTGAATGATTGTTTAGGACTGTTTCTATTAAAGATGTTTTAGAGGATATCTGCCATCATAAGATTAATTTTAACTTCATATCTGAATATATTAAAAAGTATATGGCATAAAGGAATTTTTATCATTTTTTAATTTCTTGATTAAAAAAATGCCATTTTTTTCAGTTTGAATAATGCATACTTCCAGCAACACTTTGTATTCTGAAATTTTGGAATTTGGTTTTGGTTCCTTGTAGCAGCTCTCACATGGTTTCTAAAATGATACTTTTAGGAGGAACAGGGGTAGTGAATGACAACCTGTTGACTATGTCCTTGAGAAACACACAGGAGTGTCTGGGGAGGGGAAGTCACCAGTTAACTGTCATCTCTTATTTGTTTTTGAAGCTTCTGTTAGCATTTACTTATTACCACATATCAGTTAAGTAAGATTAAATTTAAGACCAAAAAATACATGATATCATCCAGTCAACACAAAAATTGAAAATAAAAAAAAAAAAATGCAGTAGTGCTGTTGCAGCTGTGATAGTGTAAGAAATAATTATACCAGTTAACAGCCAAACTAATGTAATTAGAAATTATTGAAAATACAAGTGTTGTCTTTTTCAGCTAAATACATTATTTCTATCTGCCGTATTTCACTATATTGTAAAAATAATTAATCTCCATCTACAATGCATGCCTCTCTTAAAGCTTAAAAAGAAATTGTTTTTGTTTGTCTTTTCTAACATGTGGCTGCGGGATTTCTAAAAGTAACAGATGCCTGTTAAAATGCGTAGTATTTACTGCATTTCCCACTAGAGGCTGCTCAAATGCTAGTCCTAGGTCTCTGTTGTAGTCTAGATTTTGCTCTTGCTCCTCCTGTTTTTGTTTGGCTCTTCTTTGTTGTTATTCTTTTTAGTGCAATTTCATTACTGACTATACCAATTTAAGTGGGCATACAGTAGTTTGTAGGTCAATTGCTAAATTATCTTGCATCCTGCTGTGTCTGTGAATTTTATGAATTAGTGAGCAATCATTCTGAAAAGCAAGGTAGAGTAATCACAGACATGTGATTTTTAATGCACTCAGAAAAGTCCATACCTTAGGCAAAAGGAGGCCACTAGCTGCAGTTGCAGTCAAGGCATTTCCCTTTGTGTACCTCTGGATTTTCTGAGAGAGGCAGCTGACAATTTAGTAGACAATGAATGTTCATTTTCCACACCATAATCTCTAGACATAAAAATCATTTTTTGTCCCCCTGAAATTCTTTCCATATTAATTACCACAACTTTATTATGAAATCATGTTCATGTGATATTATGAAATCATGTTCATGTGATATGTATGCATAAAATTTCACAGCAGGTTTTGCTGATTATGAGATTTCTGCTTCCCTTTTTGCTTATTGTGGAAATAATTTATTGTTTTGTTAGAGACTAAAAAAGCTTATGAAGTAGTTGGAGCTGGACATATGTAATATGCATGCTGTGGAGTTTGTTTATAGGGTCTTAACTTTTGCTCTTTTAGGAGGACCATTAGAGTAGCTATTTCTGTTTTGGTTATGGCTTAAAAAATAAAATCTATCTACTCCAAATAGGCCTCAGCTGGGATAGCCAGGTCAGAATTGCAGATATGACAGTGATACCTTCACATGCTTGTTCTTTCCTTCTTCTGATCTACCCCACCCCGCCCAAAAAAAAAAAAAAAAAAGACTTTTATCACTTTTTCTATCTTGAACTTACTCATTGCTCTCTATATTCATAAAGATTCTCTTTTGGTGGCAGGCAAAGGTGAGACATTTGTCAAAACTCAAGAGTTGCTTCAGTTTTTCTGCCACTTCATTCCATCTTCTCTGTAGTCCTTTGTATTCACGCTCAGTTTATAGGCTATGACAAATTAATCTATCTGTCTCTATCTGAGGTGCAAACTCCTTTCTGTTCTGTGGTCTCTGTTTCCAGTGTAAGTACAATCTTTCCTCCTGCAATTTACCTTCCTCTTGGGACAGAAGAAGTCCAGACATGCTCAAATGGTGAATCGCTGTTCTGTATTCTCCCAGGGCCACGCTAGATTGACAAGCAGATTCGAGTTTAGAAAAAGACTTTTTGCACTTTGGGATCCTGAAGAGGGATATTGAGTTATCATTAGTCACCTATTGGGAAGATGATCCTTTTCTGTGAGTCATAAAATATTCAGATAGGATAATTCAGTTTGAAAGGGGCCTGTGAGAGGGTGAGAGCTATGAAATCAGACCGTGTTACCTTTTTTTTTTTTTTTTTTTTTTTTAGAAAGAACTCTAAATTGAGATTTTTAACAGTTAAGGCTAAAGAAAAGACCAGGATCACAAGGTTCCTCATCTGTTTTGGCATGTGTACGTGTAGATATCTAAAACTAGAGACTAGAGCTTTGTCTGTTGATAAAGGGTTTGCCTCTAAAATAATCTTTCAAGGTCTCTTTCTTTTGTATTTTCATGAGATGAAGTAGTTTAAACTTCTTCCAGAATGCCTTATTAGAGCTGCATTTTGAAAAAAATAATCGATCAGTACTGGTCTTGCTTAGTGGGGTGACCCTTCCTCACATTTGTAGTAGCCAAGGTAAATTGTGTTCTGTGAAACCAAGGTACAGGAACAACAAACAGTGTTCAGCATCTTACTGCAAAGGGAACCTCACCTAGGTCTTGCTTATGAGGTGACAGGCTCTGCTGTCACCTTTAACCATGTTTTATGGACTGAAGTTTATCTTTCTAGTCTATTTATAATTATTACTGTGGTCATTATTTAACTTTATGGAATTTTATTACTATGTCAATTATTTACCTTTATGAAATCCTTTTTCTGGTGGGGTAAGTTGTCTGTCCGTTGATAGAGTTTGATATTCATGTAAGTTTTTCTTACAGCCCAGCTAGAGGCCAGCTTTGAGGAAATGGAGAAGCATCTGTTGTGTCTTGAGGACCTATGTGAACAGTGTGAGTTTGAAAGATACAAGTGTATGCAGACATTACAACTGGAAAACTACAAGAAAACAAAAAGGTAAATAAAACAACAATTGATATAAGTTAGCATAAAATAGAAGCTTTTTGTGGGTTTTTTTCTCATACAATATTATCTCTTTTGTTTTAGTCTATTAAAGAAAAAATCTCTTTCAGAACGTTGCAAATTTATGATAGATTCAGTACTGAGTACCAGCATCACTCTTGAAGATAGACAAAGAGTATGAGTTTGGAAAATTATCACATTGTTGTTAAGATGAAGTTATGTTTATTACTTTCTACAAACTGTTGAAGTAAGGGCATTAATAAGCATTCATAAATTATTCCTGTTTTAATCCCTTGCCCTGTTTGATTATTTTTCCTTTATTTTTCTTGTATATTTATCATGTACAATTAGAATTCTTTTTCCTCTATCATTTTTTTTCAATGATAGACAATGAAAGACAGTGTCTTTCATTTCATGTGATAACTACTACTCTCCAGTTTTACTTGCTAAGATAGGATGCTACTGCTACTTAGTCAGCAGCAGTATGTGTAGCAGCAAGTGTGAAAAGCCCCTTACAGAACTCTCAACTCTTGTAATTTACATTAACATAGAAAATAAAGTAGCAAGAGAGAAAGGTTAGTAACCTGTAAAATGTAAATTGTTGGTTTTGATACTATTGTTACTCGCAGTGTCAAAAAAACTTCAAAGGTGCTAGGAAAAAGCAATGCTCTTTCCCTTGTATGAAAGAGAAAAGAATTTAAGTTGAAACAATTTGCCAAATTCTCTAGTACACCTGTGTTAGGAAGCGGTGGATGGATGCCAACACTGACAGGTCTGAAACATGCATTGACTGTGAGATATCAGATTTCTTCATCCATCTCTCAGATGTTCTCCTGCTAGGCAGAGAAAGCAGCCTTTTCTCAGCTCTTTGAACTGTAGAAGCAAGTCTGACTCGTGCGGTATGGTTAGAACACCTGGTTTGGTTTATTTTTCTGCTTAGGCTGCAAGTGATCCAAGAGCAGGGCTGCCTGACAGCTCCCTGAGACAGCACTCGTCATGATTTGAATACCTTGTCCCTTCCCCGATCCTAGACTCTCCTTTCCACAACTCTTGTACTTCTCTATCTCAGTCTCCTCCAAATAAACAATATGCCCTTATTTACTTTTTCCTAGTTAGTCCCAGTTTTGTAATGTCTGCATACAAATTTGGTATTTTTGATACTGTCCTCTAGGAAATCTTGACCCTTTATGGTCTTCCAGGTATAGTTAAAGTACTGCTGGCATTGACAATTCTTCATCTCAAAAGGCCCTCAATATTTTCCTTCAGTTGTCTGTCAATTTGGCTGTTTCTTGTACAATATCCCTTTAAATAACTGTGAAATCTAGCCATTTCTCATGATGCTAACTAACTTTCGTCAACTTCTTAAAATGCTACAGGCCAGCACTTTCTCGTGGCCTGGCCTGTCATTTTTCCACATGTTGCTCTGTTACCTTAGCATTAGGCCTGCGCCTAGTCAGTGGTCTTTTAATTTCTTTGCAACCTAAATTCTTCTTTTGAAAGCCATTGCAACATAACATCCACTCCCAATAAGAAGCAATAGTCATTAGTAAGGCAGGCTGGCTGTGCAATCATTTCAACTTATTTAAATGATTAAATATGTAATAGTATCTTCATCATTTTAAGTAGCTATTAATTTTCCATGCAAATTTAAAATAGGAGTAAAGCACCAAATTTATACCCAAAAAACTATAGTAATCTTTCTAAAATCTTTAAGAAGTTTGTTTTCCCCTCTCTTTCTCCCTTTTCATTCCCCACCCCCCCCCATTTGCTTTCAACACTAAAACAAAGTGTTTACTCTTCTTACGATCTAATCAGTTTTATAAATAGAATACTAAGCAAGATACTTAACATAATTGTAAGCTGATTACCCTTGGCTAGATCTAGACAAAACAGGAAAAATGCAGGTGATTTCTGGTTGATCATTACCACAGTACTCATTTAGGTAAGAAATTAACTGCTAGAAGGATGCTTGCCAATGTGGATATTGGAAGAATAATAGCCAACTAACTTAATGTGAGTGTGATGTGGTATGTGTATGTTTGCAATTTACATTCTGTTTTCCTCTCTTCAGAGCTGGGTGTCTTTTGCTCTGATAGCAGCTACTGAAGGAATCAAGCCAGGAGTTCAGGAATATGCGTTTTCTCTTAAATACAAAATTATTTTCAGGGAACTAGTGGTTTTGTTTAAAAAGATATTTGTTTGTATTTACATTATGGAGATAAAAACTAGGATGAAAACCGGTGTAGGAAGTATGGATACTGAAAGTATGTAACAAAAAGGAATGTTATGATAGAGTTACTGCAGATGCTTAGGCTAGAAGCGCACATATATAGGTCTTTTGAACAATATTGCTGCATGAAAGATTTAGAAATAGTGCTTTAGATCACTATTCAAACCTTTGAAATGCAGCTTATGGTAGCTATGGGAACTGACTTTCAGAAATAGGTCTCCTTATTAAATTGAGCAACTTTATTTCAGGTCAAACAGATCAATTCTCCCCCAGTCATTGCTGTGTTGAGTACTAACTTAAAATATATATTGATCAATCCAAGACGTTTTCTAGAATGTATTTACAGCCTGGGTGTTTGGAGGCTTGTTTTTTATGTGCTTGTGTCTCTGGATTTTTGATATTCCCTCTCCCTCTCCCTCTCCCTCTCCCTCTCCCTCTCCCTCTCCCTCTC